TAAAAACCGATAATATCAAATGTAATAAAAATGGTGAAATCAGTGGGAGTGATAAATCATGAAATGTGATTATTCAATAAGTTTGGGTCCAAGTGTCATTACCCATAATTTGAAGGAAATTGCCATTCCTATAGTTGTTAAACAACTTAATGTCTTAGAATAACAAATGAATAATCAATTACTCCATAATATAATTATCATCAATGAAAAGTTGTAAAAGAACCACAAGAAATAATATTGAGAAGATTTCATAAGATAGAATGATTATGTGGTATATCTATAACAATCTTATTATAATATTGGGATAAGTAGGGACTCGGTTTTATAGTCACAAGCCATAGAACGTATTGATTCTACTAAATGAATTGATGTCATGAATGATGAGTTGAAATCAACGGATCAGAATGAGATTTGGGATTTCATTGAATTGCCTAAGGATAGAAAAATATTTATTGTTCTAAAGCCAATGTAAAATGATATAATGCTAGATATGTGGCCAAATATTTTACTCAGAAAGTAGACATTGATTACAATGATTTTTTTTTTTTTTTTGTTTCACTTGTATCTTAAAGGGCTAATTTAGAATCATTATGGCATTAGTAATTCATTATGATATTGAGTTGCATTAAATGTATGTGAAAATTAATTTTCTGAAAGAGAGTTTAGATGAAAAAATTTATGTAGATCAACTCAAAGGTTTCTCTATTGAGAAAAATGAAAATGTGACTTGCAAACTTAAGAAATCAATTTATTGACTTAAACAAGTTTTTTAAAAATTGTATCTTAAGTTTTATGATACTATTTTTCCTTTGGATTTAAAGAAAACAATTTTTTTTTTATTAGTGTACATATCCAAAGATCAGTGGAAGCAAGTTTATATTTATGATTTTGTATGTTGATGATATTTTTCTTGTCAATAATGTATGTGATTTATTGCACGAGTTAAGAAATTTCTCTTTGAAAACTTTGAAATGAAATATATTTGTAAGACAACCTATGTAATAGAAATTGAAATATTTCTGAATGAATCACATGAATTGTTGAGATTGTCTTAGAATATATATATTAAAAGTTCTATAGAGATTCAAAATGAGAGAATATTTACATAAAGTTATCCATGTTCCGAAAAGAAATAAGTCCAATTTTATGCCCAAAAAAAAAATTATAAAATCAATTGGAATGGAAACGATTCTTTATACATTTATTGTAAAAAAACTTAATGCTCAAATAAGGTGGTGATAAGGTAATCATAAGGAATAGTCGATCAAAAAAAAAGGTAATCATAAGGAATAAAAGATTACTTGCTCACATTTATGAGGTCTGATAATCTTGAATTGATTGGTTACTTAGATTCAAACTTTGGAGGATGCATTGATAGTAGAAAATTTACTTTTGATTATTTGTTCTTATTATGTGAAGAAGAAATTTCATGAAAAGTGTGAAATGAACTATAATAAATGTCTCCTATGAAAGTTCAATTTGTGGTGTGCTTTGAGACCACAATTCATGAATTGTTATTGCGGAACTTTATCTCAAGACTTGGGATTGTCAACTTTTGTTGCCAAGTCATTGAGAATTTATTGTAATAATTTTGCAATTGTTTTATTTTCTTAGAATGACAAGTATTCTAATAATGCTAAATATATAGAATTGAAATACTTCATTAAATAAGAATTTCAGAAACAGAAAGTGTTAATAAAACACATAGGTACATAACTTTTTAGTGCAAATCTGTTGATAAAGGGATTATTCTTAAAGACAATTAAGAAACTTGCCAACTGGGTCTTGAATGTAATCCATAATAGTTGTTTATGATTGATTGTGTTATTTGACACATTAAGATCTCATTAATTGTGTTTCTAATATATTTCCTGTTATGAAATGAATACGTACATATATGAGAATGAATGAATGAGTGATATATAACAGAAATAGTCTTTCATAGAAAGACATTATTGTTGGACATCTTTATACTCTTCATTTAAAGGGCTATGTTAAACTAGTTGCTAGTGTTGTAGTACATGGAAGGGCCTATATCGCACTATTGGTGTAGAACCACCATGACACACATTAGTGAACTATTTAATTATAGTATTATAATGATAACCAAATTAAATGTAATATTGAATATGATTTATTGCGTGCCTAATGTTAACCTTGTTAAATCTTGACATAAGTTATCATATGGGTCAAGTGGGAGAATGGGTCAAGTGGGAGAATGTAAGACTATAAATTAATTATTTAGTCATTTTGTTAACTCACATGATATCGTAATATGAATTAGAGATTTGGTAAGGTTATGATTCCATATTTTTTGCTATTATTAATTGGTAAATAAATAAGAGTGTTTTCCAAGTATCCTACTTTGATGGGAAAATAAAATCATTGTTGAATAAGGAAACTGGTATACTTTCTACCTATAAAAGGACATTCAGACTACCCATCAAATTATTCTGAATTCAATGTATTCTAACGAGGGATAAGGGAGAGAAATCTTTTTCCACTAATATTGAGAGAAATCTTTTTCCACTAATATTATTGTGAAGTTTATGTTCAATCAATTTTGGATCACTTGAAGATTTCACATAATTGATCTGAATATATTATTTATTTTCCGTATTATATTATTATTTGTGAAAATCATGATAGGTAACTGTTTTGGATTATGAAAGTTGTTATATACATAACACCATAAAATTATTTACATCGTGATCATAAAGTTTTAAAAATCATTAACAGGGTGTTCTGAGGTGTATCGGCCTGTAACATAATATCGCAACCTGTATCGAAATGTAACAGTGCACTCCGATACGTAATGGCATTGTCAAGCCCTGAATTTTTTGTTTCTTTACTATTATTCTCTTATTTGTTCTTTTATTTTTAGTTCACTCTCTGGTTTCTATTTTTTCAACACCAGATCTTGAGATTTATATTTTTCGAGATTTTCATAATTCTCTATTTTTCCTCTTTTAAATATTTATTAAAAAAAAGGGAAAAAAAAAAACATAATGACTAGTTGTGTTTACACCATCTAATAGAATTATAATTTCAATCCTGTACTAATTAAAAGTAAAAACTAATTAATGCCTAATATAAAAATTTGCTTATAGATGAGCATTTTATCTTTAAAAATCTTCAATCCCATCTTTAAAAATCTTTATAGATGTGCATTTCATGTAATAGTTAAAGAATGAAATATTATCTTTTATTTTTTTTATTAAAATATTTCAACAAGAGAAAGAGTATATAAACTTTATAGTCATGATCACTCAACCCTACAGCCACACTTGGAACAATAAGTATATTTCTGCCTAGAAAAGTTATTTATAAAAAGCAAATTTCATAGTTCTGTTAGCAAAATTGGTGAATATGGATGTTTTTTTATATTGAAATAATTTCCAGTGAAACCATCAAACCATCTTCACCAACACCTTCCCACCTAAAAATCTTCAATTTCTTCCTTTGAGACCAGATCACTCCTCCATCTTATATTCCAGTTACCTTCTTCTACTCCCCCAATCATGAGTGATGATGACACCAATCTCAATTTCAACTAATTTTTGCCATAAAAAAAATTATGATTGGCAAATCAACTAATTTTTTTCATAAATGATATACACTTACAAAATAAACAATCTGATTTATCATAAACAAGACTCATAATAGGCTCTACACTCCCTTAAAGTCTGTCACACTCAAATCACCCCAACCCAATAATAAAATCACAAAATGTAAAATTTTATAATTAAGACGTTTTCAATATATATTTTTCTAATTGCCTCGGAGTCAACCAAACGTGCATTAGTGGATAAGATGTCAATATCTCAATATTATAAATAAAAATGATAGCAAGAAACAATTTTAATTTACTTAAAATTATAATTTTTTTTAGGGTAATAAATTTTAAAATGTGATACTGTAAACTGTTTAATCCTCCATTTTTTTTATGAATCCAAAAGTCTCATTAAAGTGAAAATTATACAAAATGATAATCACTTACATATTTAATTTTTTAGGGGTAAAAGTGAGTTTCTCCAATTATAAAAGTACATATTTTGGCCATTCGCACTATAATAATTTTGGATTTTCCCTCATTTTGGAACAAATCTCACATTACGGACAAAAACATAACACTCTAACGTAACACACTCCAATGTAACACATTAAAAAATTTCTTAATGTACTTTTTCAAACGTAACACTAAAAAAAACAACTTTTTAGTATACTTTTCCTAAACACAACGCTCCAATGTAGTACGGGAAAAAAAAAATTATTTTGTGTATTTTTCCCAAACATAACACTCCAATCAATGTAATATCAAACGTAACAATCCAATGTAACATACTTTAATGTAACACGCAAAAATACTAAAAAACTCCTTAATGTACTTTTTCCAAATATAACACTCATAATTTGAAATTATATATTTGTCTAAAACTTACTAAAGAATTTTTGTACTTCTTTTAGAATGGTTTGAAGAATTCCACATCTTCTTGAAATGATTTGAAAAATCTCACATCTTTGTTTTAAGTGTTTCATTTGTTATGTTTGAGAAAATTATACTAAAGAATTTTTTTGTGTATTACATTAGAATGTTACACTAAAGAACTTTTTTGGAGCGTTACGTTTGCAAAACGTACACTAAAGAGGTTTTTTGTGTGTTACATTAGAGAGTTACATTAATGATTTTTTATGTGTTACATTAGAGTGTTACACTAAGGATTTTTTTAGAGCATTACGTTTGAAAAAAGTACACTATGAAATTTTTTTATGTGCTACATTATAGTGTTAATGTTATATTAAAAGTAAAAACTAATTAATGCCAAAGATAAAAACTTGCTTATAGATGAGCATTCATCTTTAAAAATCTGCAATCTCATCTTTAAAAATCTTTATGGATGTGCATTTCATCTTTAAAAATCTTTAAAGACTAGCATTTCATGCAATAGTTAAAGAATTAAATATTATCTTTTATTTTTTTTATTAAAATATTTCAACAAGAGAAACAATGTATAAATAAAGTCATGACCACTCAACCCTACAGCCACAATTGCAACAAGTTTGTTTCTGCCAGGAAAAATTATTTATAAAAAGCAAATTTGATAGATCTGTTAGCAAAATTGGTGGAAATGGATGTTTTTTATGTTGAAATAATTTCCAATGAAACCATCAAACCATCTTCACCAACACCTTCCCACCTAAAAATCTTCAATCTCTCCCTTTTAGACCAGATCACTCGTCCATCTTATACTCCAGTTACCATCTTCTACTCCCCCATCATGAGTGATGATGACACCAATCTCAATGTCAACCAATTATTGCATAAGCTCAAGGTTTCTCTCTCCGAATGCTTGTCGATCTTCTACCCACTTGCAGGGCGGATTAAAGATCATCTCTTGGTTGATTGTAACGATGAGGGCGTTCTTTTTTCTCAAGCCAAAGTTGACTGTCAATTGTCTGAATTTCTGAATCCCCCTGATACCAGCTTACTTGCTCGCCTTCTTCCAGTAGTTGAAATTTCAATGGAGAGACAGAATGAGGCGGTTCTTGTAGCTATTCAAGTCAACGTATTTACTTGTGGTGGAATATCTATTGGCTTACACTTCTTGCACCGAATCATGGACGCAAGCACCCTACAGGCTTTCCTCAGTTGCTGGGCAGCCACGGCAACCGGGTCATCCAAGGATAGAGAAACATACCCGGATATCAATGCAGCCTCGTTCTTCCCTCCTCGAAGAGACTCGCAAACACAAGACGATCAGGTAACATTTTCGTTCAAACAAAAGTGGTTTCTGAACAAAGACGGAGTTTGGAAGAGATTTGTATTTGATGCTGCAGCAATATCTGCCCTAAAAGCCAAGGTGGCTAGTGAAGCTGTGCCCAATCCAACTCGGTTCCAAGTGGTGGCTAGCTTCATATGGAAATCTGCTATCTCTGCATCTAAAGCATTGGGCTCCCAAAAGCCGAGTGTAATCATGTTTCCAGTAAATATGCGACCAAAAATGGTGCCGCCAATGTCACAAAATTCCATTGGAAACATTGTGTGGCACGCAACGGCACACCATAGGGAAGAATCAGTAGAGCTACGTAGCACGGTGGATTTACTGAGAGGAGCGATACAGAAAATCAACGGTGACCACATACAAAGTTTACAAGGAGACCAAAGGTTTGCAGTTGTGAGTGGAACTTTAGATAAGTTGAGAAACATGTATTCAGATGAAACACTGGAGCTATATATATGTATTACTTGGTGTGGTTTAGGGTTCTATGATGTGGACTTTGGATGGGGAAAGCCTATCTGGGTTACTAAACCTGTTGAAGACAAAATCAGCACAATGTACCCAAATGTCATTGCTTTAATGGATTCCAATTCAGGCGATGGAATTGAAGCGATGATGTTCTTGCCTGAAACTCATATGGCAAAACTGCTATGTGATGCAGAGTTCCTCAGTTTTGTCTCCATCAACCCTACTATTTCAGTTCCATCGGCGCCCAATTAACTATGTTGATGAAAACGTCAAATAATGACATTGTCAAGCGCTGAATTTGTTTCTTAATTTCAAATATTCTTCTTCTGTTGTTCTTTTATTTCGAGTATGCTTTGTTTCTATTTTTCAACACAGTAACTTGGATCCGATCTTGAGATTTAAATTGTATGACAATGTCAAGCCATAAATTTGTTCTTTTATTTTCAGTTCTTTGGTTCCAATTTTTCAACACTCAGACCTTGAATTACATCTTGAGATTTTTATATTTTTTGAGATTTTCATAGAGTAATGCCAAGGATTATGAAAAAAAATATCATGAAAATGATCATGAAAAATTTTCTACCTTTAGATTATACATACAATAAAACATTATACACTAATCAAAGGATGAAAAAATTTCATAATATTTTTTTTCATGATCTCTAATATTATTCATTTTCATAACCCTATTTCCCCTCTTCGCTAAAAATTATATTTAATAACAGTATTATCTATGTTACCTTGTTTCCTTGCTCATTGCAAACACCACCTTCAGCTCAGGTGAGGGTACCTACAAGAAAACAGGGTAGAAAATAATCACTTTGCTTGGTTCCTCTTTTCCAAAAACACTTTTTAAAAAATTATACTTTCTTGTTTTCCGTATTTTTTTATTTTTACTGAATTTTTTTAATATTTTAAATAATTTTTTTTACTTTTTAGACATACCTAACATAATAAGTATACCTAAAAGGTAAAAAAATTATGAAAAAAATCTTTTAAAAAATCACTAAATACCAAAAATACAAAAAAAAAATACGAAAATTCAGTTCATTTTTTATATTTGTATGTATTTATTAATTTTTAAAATATTTTTTCACAAATTTTTTATTTTTTAAATATATCTAAGTAAGGTGCATCTAAAAAAGTAAAAAAAAAAATGTATAAAATTTTAAAAATATTCACTAAAAACAAAAAAAAACGAAAATCAAAAAACTCAATTTTCAAACAATTTTAATCCAAAAAACTCAAACCAAACACACTGAATAGTAATAATAATAGTAGTACATATTGCCAAATTGTATTCCAGAGCGAAACTGGACTATTTCATACTAAAATGGAAATATAAAAATATGTGAGAAGTAATTTAGAATACCAAATCAAAATATTTATAAAATTTTAAATTTCAAGTGAATTATCCAAACTGGGTGGGGAATTTAGATGTCTGGTCACCCACAGATGTTCCAAATGAACATATACATATATATATATATATACACTAAAATTTGCCCATATGATAGATGTGCTGTTATATCTAAGAAATGTACATATTTTAATTTTGATTTAAAAGAATACATATTATTTTGCTCAAATGGTAAATGTTTAATTTTGTTTATCAGAAATCAGACCGCAGGTCATGATTTTAACTCCCAATCTTCTCTCTATATAATTTTGTATTTTAAATAAATTATAAAGGTATTTTTGAAAATCAAAATGAACACCAACTCAAGCCTTTCCTTGATAATAATTATAAATTTTAATCTAAGTTTTTTTTTTAATCTGAATTTGATCTAAACAATTACATAAGATTAGTATTATAACCAAATATGTAAAATTATTTAAAAAAACAGCAATAATAATAATAATGTAGGCTTTATATAAATTTAGCTGGTGACACACGTGATGCGTATGCAATTCAAATAAGTAAAAATAAAAATAAATAATAAAAAAATTAATTTGTATGTTACCTAATTGGTAAGAATATTTTTAGTGAAATCCAAGATCTTGATTCAAATTCTATGTTTTTATCCAATTTTCTTACCATTCAAATTCTATATTTTTATGTATATTATTTTTTAAATGCTTATAAAGGTTTGAGTTTCTATCGAGTTCAAATTTAAATTTGAGATAACTTAAGAGGTTTATAGGACCATCGCGAGTCTTGTTTTGATAGTTCAAGTTGTTTATTTTGTAACCTTGTTCATGTCTATTATCCATAAAAAAATTAAGCCGATCTAGTAATCATAACCTTTTTATTTTATTGTGTTTATCTTTAAAAAAATAGATATCTATTTCTAAAAATATACTTACTGTTCATTTTTTGAAAACAAACGTGAATAAATAAAAAGTTACGATTTTTGGTAAAAAAAAAATTACGATTATCGAATCGATTAACTTTTTTTTCATAAATAATATATATTTACAAAATGAACAATCTGAATCATCAAAAATAATATTCATAGTGTGCTCTACAGTCCCTTAAATTCTCTAAAATTCAAATCACTCCAACCCAATAATACAATCACAAAATGTAAAATTTTATAATTAAGACGTTTTCAATAGTATATATTTTCCAATTGCCTTGGAGTCAACCCAACGTGCATTATTTGAAAAGGTGGTTAAAAGTTGGTTTTTTAATTTATTTTTTTTTATCTTTTTTGACTTTTTTATATGAGAGGTGATGTGATTCATAATGAATTAAAAGTTAACTTTTGACTTTTTTAACTTGTTCGCAAATGGCCCTAGTGGATAAGATGTCAATCTAATAAAATAATAAATACAATCTCAATTATAAATATTATAAATAAAAATGACAGAAAGAAACAATTTTAATTTACTTAAAATTATAATATTTTTTAATCGTGCAAATTATTAATGTTAAGGTGTCAATCTAATAAAATAATAAACACAATCTCAACTATCACTACAAGAAAAAATATTTTTGGCGGATGATTATTTTGGATAGATGGTTATTTTGTCAAATATTAATGCGTTCATGTTGACAAGTGTTAGTAATTAGATAGATTAATTATTATTTTGACTTTCCTTTCGATGGTTTTTGTTTTGTAGATTTGATTGGTGATGGATTGATATGTTGAAATTAATTGGATGGATATGAATTATACATTAATTACAAATGTATTACAGGTATCACAAAAAAAATTAGCATCACATTGACAAAAATGATGTTTAAAATTGAAAAAAAATTTGCAACCAATAAAATTTTAGTCGCAATAGGTCTGTAAGAAGCTTGCTGTGATAGACTTTTCGCGACCAAAATATGTCGCCGCTAAATGAGAACTTTATGCGACTAAGTTAAGTTTGGTCACCAAAAACCACTTTTCAGCGACTAAAATCAATGGTCGAAATTGTTACCTTTCGGTGACTAGATTTTTTATTTTGGTCGCCAAAAACCATCTGTGACGGGCTTTTAGAGACTAAATTGCAACCAACTTTTTTTGGTCACTAAAGACCATCAGCGACTAGATATGATCTTTCTGCGACTAAAAAGTTAGTCGCTAAAAATATTATTTCTTGTAGTGTATAAATATTATAAATAAAAATAACAGAAAGAAACAATTTTAATTTACTTAAAATTATAATTTTTTTGGATGAAATACCAATAAATCCCAAAATGTGATCTTGTGAACTCTTTAGGGGAAATTATTCAATACTCTCGGAGCACCACGTGTCCATACTCCAAACCAATCACCAATTAGTTAGCCTCATGTTGTCCCTCCATCTCCAACATAAATCGTGAGCCCTTGTGTCTCTCTACCAATCAAAACCTTATGGAGCACCACGTGTCCATATTCCGGGAGTACTGAATAATCACCCACTGTTTAGTCCCCTCTTTTTTTCTTATGGACCTAAAGGTCCCATTAAAATGAAAATTATATAAAATTATATAGTAGTCACTTACATATTTGGATTTAATTTTTTAGGGATAAAAGTAAGTTTTTTTAAATATAAAATTACACATTTGGGCAATTTACACCATAGTAATTTTGGATTTTCCCTCACTCTAGAACAAATCCCACGTTACAAACAAAAACATAACACTCTAACGCAACACTCCAATAACGTAACATTCCAATATAACGCACTACAAATTTCTTGATGTACTTTTTTCAAACGTAAAACATTAATAAAAAAAATAAAAAATAAAAAAACTCTTTAATGTACTTTTTCCAAATGTAATACATACACACACACAAAAAAAAAAAAAACTCATTAATGTATTTTTCCCAAATGTAACACTCCAATCAATGTAATCTCAAACAAACACTCCAAAATAACATACTTCAATGTAATACACAAAAACACTAAAAAAAAACTCATTAATGTACTTTCTCTAAATGTAACACTTATAGTTTGAAATTATACATATGCCCAAGACTTACAAAGAAATTTTGGCACTCCTTTTGGTATAGTTGAAAGAATTTCACATCTTTTTGAAATGGTTTAAAAAATCTCACATCTTTTTTTTTTTTTTTTTTTTATTGGAATATTACGTTTTGAAAAAGTACACTAAGAACTATTTTTGTGTGTTTAATTGGAGTATCATACTAAGGAGTGTTATATTGGAGTGTTACATTTGGAAAAATAAAAAAAAAGTACAATAAGGAGTTTTTTTGGAGTGTTACGTTCGAATGTTACATTGGAGTGTTACAGATTGAAATTATACGTTTGCTCAAGCTTACTAAGGAGTTTTTGTACTCTTTTAAAAATATTTGAAGAATCTCACATCTTCTTAGAATGTTTGAAGAATCTCAAATTTCAAATCATTTTTATACTCATTTTGAATTGTTTGAAAAATCTTATATTTCAAGTTATTCCAAATAATAAAAAAAAAATTCATATAAAAATTCATCCTAAATTTGATTATCATAGGTTGTGTATCTTACCTTTCTAGTACAAATATATATATATATATATATAAAAAAATAGAAAACGGATCATCATTTCTTAAAATGGGATTTATAGATAGAATTTCAAATTTTATAAGCAAATCCAATTAGTCATTACATATGTTCATTGAAATTAAAAAAAAAAATGACTATTACAAAAGATATAAATATTAAAGGTGCTCACGGTTCGGTTGTGGTTGGGAACTTCTAATCCACCATCCGTCAGTCAGATTGATGAATTGAAAAAAATCAATACGCATCTATCTGTCGAATTGGCATATGCTGATTGAGCAGATTGATGAATGGATGCAAATCACTTTGGCAGTTTAAACTTTTACAAATTTTGAATATAATACAACGTGTTAATATTTTTTTTTTTTTTTGATAACAATCCAACTCAATATAACCAAAAGATTATCAAGTAAATTGTCAAATACAATATTAAATACATATAAAAAAATCATGCATTATCAAAACTATTTCATTACCCTTTTTTTTTATTCAAAAACTATTTAATTTGATTTTTTTAAAAATGACAATTAAATCTTATATTTTCTACACAAAAATACCAAATATCAATACTAGCCATTTGATAAAATGATTTTTAAATTGAAAACACAACAGAATATTTAAACTCATTTTTAATTGAAAACATAAGCAGAATATCTAAACAAATTGAAAACATAAAATATTACAAATTAATAGGGATATTCGCAATTTGACAGTTCGGTTGCAGCTAAAGGAATCTCAAATCCGTCATCCGTCCAAAACTAAGCGAATTGAAAGAAATCAATTCGCAATTTTCTGCTCATCATCGCATATCCGTCTATAATGCAACAGATCAATTCGGTTCAATTCATTTGAATAGATTAAAATATC